TAAAAAAAAAACTCCAACAAAAACCGACTCTACAACTACGAAAAGGGATTTCTAGATCTCGCATCTACTTAAATTGTGGGAATATAATAATCTCCTTCATGAATTATTAGAAACCAACTTGTCAGATTCACATTTTACCTGATCCTCTAACAAGTAAAGGAAGAAAGAAATTATTTAGCACTTCCTTTCGATACTGATTGAAATTGCGTTGCTGTGTCAGAAGAAGGATAGCTATACTGATTCGGTATACTCTAAAGATGCCCTCGGTACTATATTGATGATCTCACAAAGAATGAATTTCAGTGAATTTCCATTTACTGATCTTCTCTTTCGCGGAATCGATCCCCCTTTGACTGTACAAGAATATGTGGAGCTCAGCATGTCTGGAATCACAGGAGAACGTTCTTTTGCTGATATTATTACCAGTATTCGCTACTGGGTTATTCATAGCATTACTATACCTTCCTCATTCATTGCGGGTTGGTTATTCGTCAGCACCGGTTTAGCTTATGATGTGTTTGGAAGCCCTCGGCCAAACGAGTATTTCACAGAGAGCCGACAAGGAATTCCATTAATAACTGGGCGTTTTGATTCTTTGGAACAACTTGATGAATTTAGTAGATCTTTTTAGGAGGCTCCAATGACCATAGATCGAACCTATCCAATTTTTACAGTGCGATGGTTGGCTGTTCACGGCCTAGCTGTACCTACCGTTTCTTTTTTGGGATCAATATCAGCAATGCAGTTCATCCAACGATAAACCTAATCCGAATTATAGAACTATGACACAATCAAACCCGAACGAACAAAATGTTGAATTGAATCGTACTAGCCTATACTGGGGATTATTACTCATTTTTGTACTTGCTGTTTTATTTTCCAATTATTTCTTCAATTAAATTAAAATTAAGAAAACGAGAAAGAGAATAAAAATTCTAGGCATTCTCTTAGCCCATTCGGAAGGATCTCATCTCATAATTATCCATGACTGTTTATGTCTCTAGCATGACCACTTGATGAAATGTGGAGGGAAGTGGGGTAAATGGCCGATACGACTGGAAGGATTCCTCTTTGGATAATAGGTACTGTAACTGGTATTCTTGTGATCGGTTTAATAGGTATTTTCTTTTATGGTTCATATTCCGGATTGGGTTCATCCCTGTAGTAATCGGATGAATTGAGTTGTAGACATGAAAGCATAAGAACTCAACGGGATCTTCCCCCTCGAATCAGACAAAGAAAGAAGGGGATCCTGTTGAGTTCTTAACTTAAGAATCAGAATCTTTTTTTTCGTCTAAATAACACAACGGGTTTCTTTGTCTGCTGTTTCAAAAAATTCCATTTTTTTCTGATGATGTTTTTGAAAAATTAACTTCATTGATCGATTCAGAACATCTGTTCCTCGATAGTATCTATCGATACTTTCAAAATTAGAAGAAAGAAGGAATCACTCGATTTCATCGATGACAGAATATATATTTCTGTAGATTAGATATCATGCAAATCTTTTCTATACTAATGGAACCTTACTTTTTAGTATCTTAATTAAATTTTTTTTTAATTCATTGAAGAGGTTCTAGTTACTCAAAAAATTTCCCTCTCTTTTTTTGTTTGTCCAACACGTATTATACTATAAGTAATGCATATAAGGGGGTAAGGGGGTTCTGATACATCTGGAAAAAACGAAACTAAGACTAGGAATCTTTGACGAGCAGGATCAAGAATCATTATTATTATTATTTCGACACAAGAAAAGGCATTTTTCACACCCCTTTTTTCTTGTGTCGAAGACTAGGAAGACGAATAATCGCTCCTAGAATTATTTGTTCCCCGCATTTATCCGTTTATTTCCCGCTCACTTATTCTACTATCTAGTCTAATTGAATTATATTAGAATAAAAAACTATTGATGCTTTTTATGACATTTAAATCTGGCAATAATAACATAGTCACACCACCCCAATTTGGATAAAAAAACAACGAAAGAATGGGTAAAGTCAAATAGTCGTCTTCACAATCTACATACTATGACTAGGAATCCGGTACAAAAAATTCCCGGCATCTCGTAGAAAAAGAGTATAAACCAAGCAAAATGCTTTTCATAATTTCATTTTTTTTTTGATCATACATAATCGTCAAAAAGAATTTGGTTCTTTTTACGAGTTTGATGTCGATAAATCCGCGAATCTAGAAATTCATTTCGGACAATTGAACCTTCTCGAACTGTTTCTTTTTAAGAACCAAAAAGATTTGTGCCAAAATAACAGATGCCAAGAAGAACAAAAGGCCTTGGACACGTAATGGATCTTGGAGTACTATTTCTGCATCTCCCTGACCAAATCCCCCCACATTAGGATTACTTGTTAATGGTTGATCAAATTTGATAGATTCGCCTTCTGAAACAAGAAGTTCTGGTCCTGGAGGGATAATATCAACCACTTGACGTCCATCCGATGCATCCGTTATGGTTATTTCGTACCCTCCTTTTTCTTTTCGTATGATTCTGCTTACTATACCTGCTGCTGTAGCATTATAAACTGTATTGTTACTCTTGCTCCCGTCAGGATAAATCTGCCCCCTTCCCCTGTTTCCGCCTACGTATATAGGATATTTTAAGAAGTGAACATCTTTCTTAGTAGCGGGGTCCGGGGAAAGAATAGGAAAGATAATTTCACTATATTTCTGACCAGGAACAGGGCCTATCACAAGAATATTTTTTTTATTGGGGCGATAGCTCTGAAAAAATAGATTGCCTATCTTTTCTTTCATCTCGGGAGAAATACGATCGGGAGGAGCTAATTCAAACCCCTCCGGTAAAATAAGAACAGCCCCTACATTCAAAGCCCCCTTTTTACCATTAGCAAGAGTTTGTTTCAGTTGCATATCATAAGGAATTCGAACAACTGCTTCAAATANTGTCAAAGTTGGCTCAAATGTTGAAAAAATCTAGTGTATACATAACTTGTCAAAATGAGTTTGTGATCACCTTTGAGCTTAAATTCGTGGGTCTTGAGGGCTATTTAAGGAAACAAGTCCGTGGGGTTTAAAACTAGGTTTAGAGTGGAGGATATTGACATTAGTTTGAGAAAGTTTAGTACTTTGTAACGAAAGAGAAAAACTTATAAAGTTGGGTGGTTGGTTGATTTTTCAGAAAATTCGGCTACAGTTGAGAGGGAGGAAGAAGATGATGAATAGTTGAAGGTATTAAAGTCATTTTAACACTACTGTTTGTGGTGTTAATTGTGCAAATCAGTCCAAAAATATAAGGGGATAATGTGCTTATTTCTAAATCATAGGGGAATTATGTGTAAAATATCCAAATCACAAGGAGATAAATTGAATTTTGCCCTAATATAAAATTATGTGGCCTTATAAAAGTGAAGGCACAATAAATTGGGTAGGTTGCTAGTATAGTTCCCTATCCACGATTCTGCTATGTACTGGAAAAATATATAGGATGAATCTCCAGGATGAGTAGAGTAAGTGCGATTTTCAATATTTTGCTTATGTACAACTACAAAGTAACAAACATTACAATTGGATTAATATTGGTGGATCATTTTTCAGTCATTCATTGAATGATAAATCACTACAAGCGACGGAGATACACGATTTAAATCACGGAAAATCCAATATTTTAAAATTGTATCTAGAATGACTGGAAAAGTAGAAACAAGACCAGATATAATTTGATCATTATGAACAAACCCAAATATATTTGCACTTCTCGACAAATATAATCTGTTTCGTTATTTTAAGCGGTTATTCTATTTGGGGTAATGAAGAACTTGTTATTCTTAACTCTTGGGCCCAGGAATTCCTATATAACTTAAGCGACACACTAAAGCTTTTTCTATTCTTTTATTAACCGATTTATGTATCAGATTCCATTCGCCCCATGGTTGGGAACTAATGATTGGATGGCTGCGGCTGCTCTATGGAACATGGAGGGTGGTGTAGGGGTGGATATTGGAGGAAATATTGAAGAAAGAGGTTATAGTGTAATTTTAAATCAGAAATATAAGGGTACTGTCAGTAATTTGAGTAAACTCAGAGGGCTGTGAGTATAATAGCCATTTGCGGATGGTGCTGCTTCATGGAGTGTTGTTAGAGCGAGTCTAACCCTCCTCAATAAATTGTTTAGTCAAAATATATTTAAATATTATATTTTTTACTTTAATTAATTAATTTTTTTAAATTCAATCATACTCTCTATTTTAACTAATTTTCAATAATATAATTCAAAAAAACCTCATAACCTAATAATATAATTTAAAAATTTTCACAAATATTTGTATTAATATTTGATAGGGTCTAAACTTAAATATTTCATTCTACAATGGAATTTTCTATATTTGGGAGAGGTTTCAAAATTTGGTTAGAGAGGGGGTTTTCAAAATTTTGGTTATAGAGAAGGGGATTTTTCAAAATTGGGGAAAAGGGTTTTCAGAATGGTTTTGGGAGAGGCAGGGGAAGGTGAGTTGCGAAATTAGGGGAAGGGATTTGCACTTTGAGGAGTGGGAGAAAAAGAAGATTACCTAGACCAACCCTTGGAGAAGACGATGAAAATAAAGGCGAGATCACTACCAACAGCCATCAACAACAATGAACAGCAAGAGGAGGGGGAGATGAATACTTGGTTCACAATTGAAGAACTTCTATACGCAACAAGAAGAAGCAACAGGAAGGAATAGCAGCAAGTGGCGAGCAATTTCTCGCCTTCAGATCTGGTGAGCAAATTTGGCTTCCTAAATTTTGGCGAGGTGTATGGCTAGTGGTTTGGAGTTGAATTTTGGGGTGTTGCTCGCCAAAATAGCAAAAAAAAAAAGGAATAGCCAGCAGCGTTGGAGTTGCTCTTAGTGGGAGGCTTGTCAATTGACTGAATCTTAATTCAAATCTATTTAATTGGATATTAATCAATATTTTCATACATTTATCTAAATTTAATTTAATAAAATTTTGATCCATTTATTTTATATATATAATAAAGTAGCTTATAATTCAAATTTTAAAAGATAAACAAAATGACTTTTATTTTTCACAGTTCAGATCGTTTTAAATTTTACTTTAAAATTAATCTAACGGCTAATATTAACACCGTAAATTTAATAGACAAAATAAGGTCCTAAGGGTGTATTTGGAGTGACTTTTTAAATGTATTTTTAGAAATTATTTATTATGAATATTTTAAAAAAATAGTGTTTGAAATAGCACCACCACCACCACCACTGTCATCGTCGCCCCCCACTATAACCGATGCTTAAATTTATTTATCTCTCATCTATATTTGTGATTTAATTTTGAATATAAATACAAATATGTTTATTATTTATCATTTTTTATTATTTTGTACTTTCAAAAACAGGCAATAACTAGTGTATATATATGTCGGCTTATACTACATAAAATATACAAATATATGTATATTGATTATTTTGGTGAAATACCATTACAGATGAGGTAATCGATCTAGATATTCAATTATAATTTGATTCAAATATAGACTAATATTTTTTGCAGCATCTAGACAGTTATTGCCCAACAGTGTGCTTCTTTGTCTAAGCCACTATGCTCGCAAATTGTTGCCGGTGTCCCTCATTAGTGTCATTGGAATCCCAAAAAATAAAAAAAAGTCGGCATCAAAACCAACAGGTACACCAGATTTTGCCTATATCGATGCTCTCTAATCTGCAAATTGTCAACCCAATCACGTTATATGAGATTTTCACCTCATACAACTACTCACACAACTAATCGTTCAATTCTTTTTAAGTCACTCGACAAATTGCAGATTAGAGAGCATCAATATAAGAAAATTCTGTGTTTATGCAGATAAATTGTCCAACAATGTGCGTCGTCAAAGCCACTATGTCCCGTGTCTCCTCACAAGGCTCCTCGTTCAATTCCTTCATGGTCAATGGACAATGCTGATCAGGAGTCTATTGATAAGAAGGGGCTGCAGAAACCTTGAACCCAATTCCCACAGTAATGAATATGACCGCATTCAGCAATTCAGAACTTCAAGATAACGGGTCAATAACTCAGATTTTGGACAGAGTCAGGAGGTGATCCCAACTAACGGGCAAATGTGCCAAATTGCCCACTACACTTTGCCTCTTTCCCTTCTAAATGAAACTGAAATGACAGGATAGCTCATTGTACATAACATCAATGTTGAAGAGACACACCCCAAACATCACACAACAATGCTACTAAAACCAACTTTTAGCAGAGCGACGGAAATTGAATCATGAAAATGCCATGAAATGACCATACAAAGAAGTGTAGCACGCCATGGCCCCTGCTTTGATTAACCAAAACTTAACCTCAACATTACCAATTAAAAGTATAAATGCAACTTGGTCGTATATCATAGCATTGACAAACGATGAGAAAACTGCAACATCAAACCCGAACAAAAACAGAGTGGTTAGCTAGCTCTACATGAATCTTTCAGAGACTATATTAAGAACAATGTCCACACTAAACAGTGGAAGGTTAGTTGATCTTATCGGACAGAACAGAACTTGAGAATGATATGGAGTTAAGAAACTAATGTCAGCTGATGGACAATTTACAAGGTTGGCTTACTTGAACCCACCCCATCAGGCCAAATCGAAGGATGGGTTTGGGTGAAGTTCTGCTACTGCACCAGGTTTTCAAGAAACCTAACAAGTAGTCCAATCCAGTAATCTGCCATTAGATCATCTACCGAGTTTTACTCTACAATATAATCCTGTTGATATTCAAGAACCTCCAAACACAAGATAAGTTTGGAAAAAAGAAAAAAAAAAGATAAGAATCCAATCTCACAAATCGGACATAATCCAAAGCTGCATCCAACTCTTGATTAGCTCATGCAATTCTCATCATTGCAAGATGTCATTCAGTTTGAATAGAACATTTACCCCCTCCTATCCCTCCCTCCTTTCTTCAAGGAAAACAGATAAGAAGAAAGAAGACAGCAATGGAGCTGTCACACTATAAGAATGCAGTGTTAACAAGAAATAAAGAAAATCACCACTGTTTCATGACTGTTTTCTCAATAATTAGTTTGACATGGTTTGCAGAGACTGCACTCAAGATAAAACATAAATTCCATTTTTTTTAGAATGGCTAATATTGAAGTCACACACAGACATCACATATCATACTCATCCTCTAGTCTAGCTTACACACAGACACTTGTGCAATTAACAAAAGCCTCCGGCTTGTGAAGGCACAGTATCTTCTCTGCACTGTATATTTCCACAACACAACAATACTGGAGCTAATATGCAACAAAATTAGTACCTCCTATTATACATCAGCACCAGTGGTCATCTCTTTCTGCGCTTTGGCTCAACCTAGCATTGAGATTGATTACAAGGTCTCATTAGTGACAAATAACAGTTAGTACAAACTACAAAAAAATTGACTTATAGTAAAGTGGCATAAACAACAAATCAAACAGATGTATTTTGGATATCAAATTTGCACCTAATCATACCTATTTTCCTGGATCAGCCTCTATGTACAACAACAAAATGCATAAGACTATAACCAATCAGAACTAGCACAAGAACAGAAGTTGCGAGAGAGACACACTTTGCAACTCTGTCCATTAGCACCTCTGGCAAGCCTTATGGTGAAGGAGAGACAACTATCATCAAGTTACAAGCTGTATATCCCTCTTCTACAATAGACGAGACACATTGCAACTGAAATCATTGGAAATAGTGACTATGAAACTCCCTGTCACATTTACAAATATATATTTAAGGGTCACAAAGAAACTATTAACTCGTAGGCCTACAATACATCAATCGAAATGCTACCCTCATTCTCTTTAATCATTCAGGTGCCCTTAATTGCATCAAATAATTTTAGTAATGCTACCTCAACATTAATCCAATTTTCTATATCGTGCATTAGGGAAGAATTCTTCTATTTAGTAGTCCAACTAATGTTACTTGGATCCTCAGTCGCATTGGTACGTGGTACGAGTTCACGATACGACATGTTCTTAGGTATACGGTATGATGGGAATAGGCTTAGCTGGTACACTATTTTGGGTCGTAATTCGTTTTGAAACTCTTATTTAAATCATTTTCACTCCTATACAACATTAAATATCATAGAACATCATAAACACTACGTCAGTTAGAACATCTTACATTTATACTCAATTTTCTATAATAATTATAAATCCATATACACATAGTCAATTAATATGTCCTTTATACTTGTGCTACATGTTCTAAAATGAATAGATTTATGGTTAGTATTACAATTTAGGATTGTATATTTTGATGATCTAAATCGTGAACCCACCCCATTTGGGATCGACATACCCAAATCGTAGGTCAACATAGGTTTAGTTAGTTCTGGTAACTATGAGTCAGACACAGTAAGCATTCAGCAGCATACCTCTTATACACTCACGAAGACGCTTCAGAAAGTGCCAATTTAATAGATATACATGACAGATTTCAACTGATCAACTATGTTCAGGTTCTCATTATGAGGATGAGATTGTGAATCAGCACAGTGCTCATTATTAGGATTACCTAGTGAATTAGCAAAGCCCACCTATCAGCATGAGAAGGTGCATCATTCAGATAGCCAAACAAACATTCCACAAAAATAATATAATGACAATATGTGCAAATCAAGTCATGTCAAGCTAGGAGTAGAAGGTGTTATCACCTTAGCCTCACCAGATGGGGAGACAGGGAATGAGTTTAAGGACCGTTTGGCATCATCATCTGATGAACAGTCCAAACACATGAAAAGTTCTAATTTCTTCGCTTCGTCTATGGTCATACCCATACAAGAAGGATGAAACCTGCCAACAATTGGTTTATGAATTAAGGGATACCGGCATAAAAAAGGCGAAACGGATATATATATTATCAAGCTGAATAAGACTACATTATTACAATAAGCATTAGATTGAGAAGTTTCCCCATCAAACTGACGAGGCAAAACATATTCGGGTAATGTTTTACAATCCGTGAACTCAACCCCATGTATAAAAAATGAAAAAAACATTCAAACATAGACGGATATTTGAAATTCACGGAAAACTATTAATTCATATGAACGATAAGCCCAATAATTTAAACACATGGTTCACATAGCTATAAAACAATTAACGTTCGACACAACCACTTGTCAGCAACTTCTTCATTTGTCACTTTGAAGTCTATCCTTTTTTGTATCAATTATCTATAGAGGTTCAATTAATAATAGAAACTTATTCACTTCATCCATTGGCTAATTAGACAACAATCATTTCACCTGTACTTCCAAGTACTTGAGACAACAACATGAGAAATGGCAAAGAAAGAACATGAAAGCCTTATCATATAAATTTTTCTCACATAGGTCTAAATTCTACTGCAAAAATTGCAAGTGTTTGACAGCTCATCATTCAAATTCCACACAGACGTATCAGTCATAGAAAATGCAGGATAATAATGCAACAAACTGTACCAGTCCTTGCACCCTTCACATTGCACCATGAGGTCATCCGGGTTATAAGGCATCTCACACTTGCAATACCTTCCACACCAAAACATCAAGAAAAAATTGAGTATTAGCCAAAACCAATCACATACAATTCACCAACTCTCCAACAGGACAATGAAAAAAACTAAAACCCAAAACTCCAAAACTCACACAGCGACACGGTCTGGAGTGAACCCTCCAGTTGAAGCCTTGTACTCAAACCGACAAAAGTAGTCCTCCGAACCAACATTCTCAAGCTTAGTGTAGTTTTTGAAAGAGTGAACAATGCACTTCCCCTCAATAGTGTGAGCACTCTGAATATCATAGTGGTCCGACAAGAACAGCTCTTTCGATCCATGGAACTGTCTTCTGCCTCCAATTGATTCTTCAGGGCGATAGTACCACCGGACTCGAACCTTCACGTTGTTCCGATGGTCTGCCTCGATCTTCTCGACTCTCGCCACGTATGGGGGCTTATCAGAGTCAGGTGGCCGCATTAACACACAGTCTCCAGCTGAAAAACACATTTAAAATCCACAATAAACACAAATAATCAAGGTCAGAGAGTAGAAGCATTGTGTTAGGGAGAAGGATAGGTCGTCACAACAAACTCAAAAATCATACTTACAAAAGGTAAAAACTCTCTCTAAGAGTGTGTGTGTGTGTTTGCGCGAGAGAGAGGGTCGTGAGGCCAAACACACCCAAAAATCAAACTTGTAAAAAATGTAAAAGTGTGCTTGTGGGTATTTGCAGAGAAGGGAAGAGGTCATAAGTCGAATACACTCAAACCTCACAGTACAATTCAAACACATAAATGAATGCAATACAATCAAAAAATAAATAGGTTTCAAAGTAGAAATGAGACTGAGGAGTGTGCGTGCGTTTGGGGGGGGGGGGGGGGAGACAGAGAGGTGTTACGTCTGACGAGTTTGTTGGAGGCCTTAATAGTGTAAGAATCGAGGTCTTTCTTTCCAGGTTTTGTCTTCGCCATCAACGACTGATCTCCGATGCTATGCTATAGAGTGAATACAGAGAGAATGAAAGCAGAATGGTCTTCGGATTCCAGAGCGAGAAAGTCCTTGTTTTTTCTAGAGCTAGAACGAGCTTGAATCGGAACGTATTATTGATAGCATTGTATTGGATTTAGGAGGTGATTGAAGGATTAGAGTTGAAATGCTGGTGTGAAAGAGTAGAAGAAGCACAAACCCTAGTTGCTGGGAAATAGGGGGTCGGGCAAGAGAGAGAAAGATGAGGAGATTGGTCGGAAATTGTTTGGTTTTGTTTGGGTGCGGATGTCAAGCAGGACGAAACCGCAGCTAATTTAATAATTATAATAATTTATAATAATAAATTAAATTTAAATAATATTATGTTTTCAACATTCGTATGGTAGTTAGGATAGAGCCCACAAGGAATACAATAAGTGACAATCCCCTTTATTGAATATTTTGGTTAAACCTGATTTTTTAAGATTCATTTGATTAAAAAAAATAATAATAAAAAAAAAAGTAAATGTAATAAGAGGGTGAAATTTAAAAACAGAAAATGAAAACCACCACGAACATTGTGCAGTGCCAAAGGCTTTGCTAAAACAATCACGTCCACCCCTGCCCACCACCAATCAAATACACAAGGACACAAAATTATACATAGACAAATACCATATTGTATACAATATAAAGATACATGGTTTGTGTATTTGCAGGGCGAAACCAGTTTTTGTTTGGTTCGATTTTTTTGTTGTTGGTGGTGGTGGTTTGGGGATGCTGATGGAAACAAAGACAGGCAAGGGCGAGAGGGGCAAGAAGACTATCGAGATGTTGACTTGGCAGATAATATTTTGAATTTTTTTGCTCAATATTTGAGTTTAAGTCTTCATAACTACGACAACTCGTTAAAATTAAACCTATTCTTCAACACCCAAAATACACAATAGAACCTTAACTTCAACCTCGACATAAATTCGGTGAAATCTCCTACAAACAACTGTATAATACTGAGAAACAATACCCCATGGTAGATATGTAAATTGGCTTATCTGAAAAATCATTTTCTATACTGAAAAAAAAAAAAGATAAAGAAAAAGGGGCGGGGAGTTGGGAGGCCTAGGCTACCACCATCTGTGTAGCCCAGACAGAAGACCATAACTCATCGACAAAAAGCAGAATGAAGGCTACTATAACAGATCGTATTGAACAAATAGAATTCATATTGGTACGTTTTGGCCGGTAAATTAAGGACCCTTCACGCTGAAGGCACATCAAAAATCATCCTGAATCCATGTAAATAGGAATATTTCCCCCAGCAAAATGTACCTATCATCTTAAAAACACAAAGATTTATCGATTCAAGGAACACACACAGTGAGTTTTGATATACCAGTGATGTATCAGTTGAAACAAATGGACAACAAATTACACGACTTGCTAGAGTTTCTGGATAACAACTGAATTGGCTAGGCCAGCTTGCTCTATGGTCTGGTCCAGATCAGAGAGCAGTTTCGGGGGGAACCCCATTGTCTGCAGTTGATAAGTCCTTACTCCACCGGGGCTGGACGCATCAATGAAGGCACGGATATCTCTGATCGTATGGTGATAGTTGAAACGTGAAACCAGGCGTGTACCATCTGCCAACCTAAGCTGAATCGAGGTAGAAGGTAGTGTTTGATCCACAACTAGACCCATGGATGGGGAAGGAGCAGTGGTGAGGGCAGCAGTGGCAGCAGCAGTTGTCTCCACTGGTGTGCTACCTAAAGTTCTTCCAACACCCTGAAATGAAACTTGGCGCTTCTCTGGTATCTGCACAAAGAATATAGTGGGTGACATTAATATAAGTGGCAGATGCTAGGAGAGAACTGAGACACAAAGCTAAGGAGAAAAATAAGGACAAACAGGGCAGTTTTCCTCCTTCCTCATAAGATTAACATTGACAGCAGTCCTTTTATCAGCTGGCTCCAATTCTTTTGGGCACTCACCCTTCCTGATGCTCTGCATTAGACGTTGAACCATACCATCACTAGGTGGCATTAACAACAACAAATCATTGAATAAAAAAAAATTCCCAGACAGTACTTCAGCTGTACCTCCAGCATTACTAAGCTATATTTGATAGGTGGTTGTATAACCAATCAGAGTTCACAATCAGAAGATCATTAATATGTACTCAACTATCCATACTCCCGCACAGGCATTGTAGCACAAGTGGTCCCCTTTACGACTAGTCAAGTCTAAGTCAAGGTGTTTAAGCACCAATGCGGTTTAGGAGAAAATCTACTGTATGGGTTCTCAAGGCTACAAGAAATTTTTTATTAAATCAAACTTCAATCTTTCATCACACAGACTAGCTTCCAAAGGGCATAAATAACAACTGGATTTTTGGGCTACTCTTTCAGAACATGATTACATCAATTGTTTTCTAAGAAGAGAATTGAGTAGGGATTTACATCATGACCAATACCCAATGACCAGGGTACCTCTAAGATACCAATTGTGCCACAAGGCCTGTGGTCAACTTCTGGAATGATGATTTTCTTTCTCCTTTGGCACCACATCCCAATTCCCATACCTTTGGAGTGATCCATAGAAGAAATTGTATGATAGAAATCTAGAAAGAATCAATAAACTCATTTAATCCCATTCCTCCACAAGAAATAGAAGTTTATTTCCTTAACATGCAAATTGCAGCCCACTGGATCATTTCCAGTTTTAGAATGATTGCTTTCGCTTCTACACTAGCAAAATTTATCACTCTTCTAGAATCTGGCCTTCTGCTTCATTTTCATCAAAATCTACTATGAGCAATAAGCAATTTCATTGACTCGTCCAAAAGATGAGACATACATTTACCACAGCATTAGATTATAACTGCAAACTTGCAGTACCAACTATTATTCAATATCATGAAGATCGGAACCTTCACACCACTCAAAATAGAAATTTAGTGGTACTACCTACCTCCAAGAAGGATGCGTTTTCAGGATCCCCCAAACTCCTCAAAGGACCATTATCTATTGTGAATCCATTGCTCCAGAAAATGATGTCGTGAGTAACAGCTTCAGGTCGCTGTGGAGCAGAGGGCACTGTTTCTCCAGAAAGAAGTCTCGCTGGTCCAGTGAAAGTTCTTGAGCTTGAAGACGGCCGGAGGTGATCAGCTGGTCCTTCTACAGCTCCTGACTTTACAGCTTGATTAAAAATAGCCTCCACATCATTACCTTTGGATGGATCTTGGACAAGCATTCCACTGCAAATAAGGAATAATAATTATACATGGGGAACCAATTATTTTCACAAATGAAGTTCAAAAGCCACAATGGATTCACTAACATCAAACTAGTGACAAATATATGGCCTAGAGCAGTGATTAGTTTTACACCATGACTTCCCATTGACATGGGAAAGTTCTATTTTCAGTGCAATATTTGGTAGGATATATGATACATATTTTCCTTTGAAACATCTCTCTCTCTCTCTCCCCCCCCCCCCCAAACCAAAAAAAAAAAACACATTTTTATAAAAACATACGTTTTTTATGTATATCCATGTGTATACAAAACCATACATCAATGGACGCACACATGACAAGGAATATGTTTACACCTGCCATAAATTTTTAATTTATTCCCACACCCTTTCAATTTTCTTAGGGAGAACCCCCATTATGCAAACGCACAATTGGATTAACTGTGCATTGCCAATCAAAGATCAAAAAGCTTATGGTCCATATTATCGAGTTTCATAGTACAATATATCATACTTTAAGGCACCATATCACCACTTCTCAACTTGACAGCTGACAACACAATTCCGTAATAAGGTGCAGATGTCACATCAGAACCACTAATGCTAAATAATAACCAACTCACAAAGTATGTAAAACATCAGCTCAACATGTTAATATGAACAATTAATTTCGACAGGTTGACACTCTCAGCACAAATTACTCTCATCAGTGATCAGTGATCAGTGAGAAAACCAGGAGCAGAAGTAAAGAAATTAAAGGCTGTACCAACTTAATTCAGCTCAGCGACGCATATCAACCACAAGCTTCAACCAAGTCCCACCACTTACAACCCAAGCGATCACATTAGAAAGCTAAATCAATCAAAAATAGCTAAGACATTTAATCTGAATCAGAAATACCACAAAAAGGCCAAATCCCAGTATGAAATACAATGCCTTCTACCACAACAATTACAAACAACCACACCATCATATATCAGTGGAAATCCAAAGGGTTGCAACATTGATGCAGAACACCAATACAGCCAACAATAACCTAACTTACATAAAGGTAAAAGCAAGGATTTCCACATTTCTTAGCCTCAACAGCATCAGTTACACCCAAACGAACAAATTAAAAATTCATCAAACAACAAAGCCAAAAATGACAAATCAGGGCTCACAATCATTTGACATTTTAAAAATCAAGCATCAAATCGCTTTCGTGTTCTCGTTATATCCGCAACCACTCGAAAAAATCAAGCCAAAGCTAAGGCTTGCACACATCATCTGTCCATCTCAAGTCTCAGCAACTTCAAAAGATCCCCCAAATCCCCACCGATCTCAAAAACACCAAAAACCTAAGTCCAAAGGACAATGATCACTAGCTCCACACAATGAATGAATTTAAGAATCAACAATCAAAACAGTTATGATTTATCATCGCATTTCCTTTACAACAAAACAATCAAGCAAGTGTAATAAGGAAAAACAAATTAAGAAAAACATGACTACCTCTTCTCACCACCAGTGTAGTACTCCTGAGGCTCATCATCGTCACTACCAGACTCATCCCTCTCCCTCCGATTCAGATCCGACAACGTCCTTATCCCACCAGCCCTACTCCCAGACGCCTTCTTCTTCGAACCATCCATCCCCTGCCTAGACCTCAGATTGTACGGAGTACCCGCCGCCGACCGAATCGTAGGCGGCGGAGAAGGAGATCGGGACCGAGAAGGAGACTGAGAGGAAGAGTAAGAATGAGATGGAGACTGAGACTGTGACGGAGAGAGAGGTTGTTGTTGGTGGGCGGTGATGGTGGAGAGAGGGTGATTATCGATGGTGGAGAGGGAGGTTTCAAGGTAGGTGGAGACGGCGGAGTCGAGGTCGAAGTTGTGGCTTTCGAGGAAGAATTGGGCTTCGGATTTGGAAGAGGAGGTGATTTCGCAGAAGGTGTCGATTAGGGTGGTGTTTGGGTTGTTGGTGTCTTCTTGGTCTTCTCCTGCGGTTGCTTGTGACTCCATTTTCTCTCCCTTCTGCGAAGAGAAAGGAATTTAGTGGTGGGATATTTATTCGCTTCTACTGTTTCCCCTACTGTGCGTACTTTACAGTGACTGCAGTTGGGTGACTATGCAAGGCAAGGTTTAGAAATAAGTATCAAAATATGGTAATTTTGAAATAAAATTATTAAATTACGATATTTTTAAACTTATTTATTAAATTATGATAATTTTAAAAGTAGAATTGTTAATCCTGCTTTTATTAAAAATTGGATTGTTAACTCCAATTTTGTTACTTATCAAGAAAAAAACTCTATTTTTGTTTTTAAAAAAATTAGGTTATTAACCCCACTTTTAAATCAATGTTTTCATTTATAAGTTTTTTAAAAAATATTGTACTTTAATAAATAAATTTAATAATAACATAGTTTATTTCAAAATTACCGTATTCTAACAATTGATTCTATAGTTTAACATGATCATGGGTGGAGGAGCGGCCAAGGGGCACTGGCCCACCCTGAAAAAAAAATTATATTCATTCCTTACATGTATTATAGCTGTTCTATGAGTTAACTCACTAGTAATGTCCACCCTTGAGTTCATGAACTAACGATACTTAATAGTACTCGCACTCATGATCCATGGAAATTTTGTTTATTTATTCATCTTATTCATTTATACCTCTTAGATTACCGTACAAACTAACGGGACTTTGAGACAAAATATAAAAACAAGCGGAAGAACAATTGTAAAAGAGCAATACTAAAATTATAAGTGCGGCTCTTCGACAATTGCAACCTTCTGGTGACTTTTTTAGAAAGAGATTAATTGTGAAAAGCTATAATTAGTCTCATTTTTTTTTATGTAAAATGGGTTAGGAATTAAATATGATTTTTGAAATTTACTTTGTATATTTTACTCTAGTCAATTGAAAGGAAAAATATATAATTTTTAATTTAAGTGTCCATCCTCATTTTAATTTCTGGCTCCACCCTTGAACATGATTACGACGGCATTTTCATGTTCAGAACTTTCTATGGGCTATATTGGTTAAGAAAAACTTGTCTTGTGTTTAAAATTTATCCGATTGAAAAATAATTTTGATTTATTTCAACATTTAACAAAGCTTATTTTCTTTTTTAGGAGCTGATTATAATCTATTCACTATAAAAAGTTTTATCATGAGAGATTGTTTAATTTGAGAAGCATTCAAGAAGGTTTGAATTAGTGAGTGAAAACTCTTCCACATTGAATTTTGTAAACTCAGAATACATATAATTGCAAGAAAACCAACGCATAAATCGTAATTTCCCCAAAGCTTACCTTTACTTTTTCAAAATTTCATTCTTCTTGTTGACTACACCGTCTTAGTTTTTGAATAGATGTTTGAGACTGGAAATTAAAGGAAAGAATAACGATTTTAACTCCAGTCTCCTTCAGCCACCACAATGTTTTAACCAATTCTGTTCTAGGTCTTTTTTTCTAGATCGCCCTCGTGGCGAAACCCATTTAATTATGATAACAACGGTCTCCATCCCGTTCATAACAAAACACCACTAAACCACACAAAAACTATGAAGCCAAAAATGGAAAATGAATACAACCTCCTCCAAGTAATCTGAAATAATTGATCCAGCAAACACTTGGGAGTGTATTCTTTTCAAGGCTTCATTTGCATCAGTAGGACAAAAGACACAGAAATGCATCCTTTGCAGTCAGTGAGACAACCGTTGCATTGCTGATGAACAATAATATAGGTAAGCTAATCCAATAAAGAAAAGAAAACAATAATCATCATAGACGGATATTCAAAAAATCCCAGTACCACAATATGTAAACCATTTAAGGACCTCATTTTCTCAACACTGTAGCCTATACCCATTGAATGTATTACTAAATAAGGGCACCAGGTTTGGTACGTCGACTTCCATAATTTCACTTCCATCAGAAAGGTTGCTATTGACATTCACAAACTATCATTCCTCACAGTCGCCACAAGGTTTCCAATATTGGGCAAGGAACTCAATTCTTCCGAGCAGCAGCATCTTCAATGCTTGTAATTCGAGGGACTACAACAGGTGCACCACGGACTTTTTCAAGAGCAAAGCTAATCCTCAATGGCCGACCTAAAAATGCCTGCACATAAAACCATTTGAATCAGAAAAGGATTTAATTGAATTGAGTGACCCATCCACCATAACAATATTTTGTGCGGCAGTAGTACTAATGTGCTCACCTTTCCATCCATGGAGTCTTTCGCACTACTGGCATCATCTTCTTTCGAAAAAGAAACAAACCCAAAACCTCTTGACCTACCAGTTTCCTTATCGTACATTATCCTCACTAAAACAACACCATCCAACAAATTGCACAGTTATAGATTGAATATTATACTTGTATATGTCAAATCCAAGTATAGAATTCTTCATCATACACAACCAAAGAAATAAGCAAAAAAGCAAATTAGAGAAATGTACTAATATCTATGGCAACGTCAGTTTTGTTTGAAATGGAAATGGAACTTAAACAAGGATAAAATTTCTTTTCAATAATTCGTATTTAGAACTCTTTAATTTTCAGAATTACAAATTGTGAACAATGCTTGAGGTCAAGTGTAGGAGGACAATATGATGACTGTTTTAGAAGAATGTAGGCGTATTGAGATCCATGGAGGCCCCAAGCTTCCTATTTGTACAAAGCAACCTTTTTCTTTTTCCTCTCTTTCTTTATTTTTTTTTTTCTTTGGCTGGACACATTGATACCATAGTGGTCTTAGAGTCAGAAATTAAAGAACCTCCAACCTGAGTGCTTGACATTTATAATTTACTTTTCCTCGCTGCATAAAATATAAGGAGAATTACATCTAGATCCCCTAAAATTTGTCACTTAACCACTCAGACCCCCTGACATTTGAAATATTACACACAGACCCTTTAAAGTTTATACACGCCTAACACTTAGACCCTGTTGTAAATATATCCGTTAATAAATTATACCTAGACCCCCTTGAAGTTTGTACGCATACAATACTTAGACTTCTTATAATTAAAATATTATACTTAAACAAAAAATACTCTAATTAAAGATAGAATATCAAATATTTTAAATTTTACAACTAAAATTCATGTTTTATTGTATCATTTATTGAAATAAAATCAAAAATAAAAATTCAACTTTTTCTTAAAAAATTGTAATTAGTATACAATTATACTATCTATTGGAATAAAACTAAAAAATTAAACAAGCGGTCTAAGTCATTCTTAATAGAACATGAATTTTACAACCAAAATTCATATTTTGTTATGTCATTTATTTAAATAAAATCAAAAATAAAAATCAAATTTTTTTAAAAAAAAAACACAGTTAGTATACAATTATAATATCTATTAGAATAAAACTAAAAAATTAAACAAGAAATTAAATTGTAATGAACACAATATCTTTTAGCATCAATTGGGATAGTTTGATATTTTAATTTGGTCGTTTAAACGACCAAATTAAATTTCAATAGACAATATAGTTGTATACTAATTATGATTTAAGAAAATTTTGAATTTTTATTTTAATAAATGATACAATAAGACATGAATTTTAATTGTAAAATTTAAAATATTTAATATTTTATCTTTGATTGAAATATTTTTGGTCTAAATGTAACATTTTAAATTTAAAACGTCTAAGTAATATATCTTTACAAACTTCAGGGAGTTTGAATGTAATTTATTAATGAATATATTTACGACAGGAGTCTAAGTGTTACACGCGTATAAACTTTAGGAGATCTGAGTGTAAAACTTCAAATGTTAAGGGGGGATTTGAGTGATTAAGTGACAAATCTCAGGAAGTGTAAGTGTAATTCTCTCTAAAATATAATGTAAGGCCAAAGATCAAATATCATAGGTGACTTTATATTATTATCATGCGTGGCAAAAAGAAGAGAGTAAATCTACAAATTATGGTCAATTGCACATTATTTAGGCTTAACTTACACAGCTGGGACCAAGCCCATTGAAAGGAAGAGGGTTGCATTAACTAATTAGCAATCGACGTAAAACTTTGTGACTCCTTCTATGAACTTGACTCCATGTAGCTGAGCCAAACACATTGAACAATATTTTATCGAGTTTGAGTTGAGGTATGAGATGTTGTACCATCCCATGCAAAGCCAAAATTTAAAGGAAAATCCAGTATCAAAATTTTGCCATAAATCCTAACAGATCGTTGCACGATTACAAAGATAAAAAGTCAATCTAGTTAAATAATCCTTACATATCAGAACTTTTATTGAAGTAACAGTGTTATGAGGCAAAAAACTTTCTTTACTTTTTTTTAAAAAAAAATTTTTTGGGGGGAGGGAGGGGAGAAGGGAGATTTGAACCCTTCACCTCAAGAAGCAAAGTCTTCACAAGATAGGGAATAACATTAGACGAAAGACCCGTTGGTATGAGACAAAAAACTTAGCTATTGATAAAGATGTTATTTGGTGTTAGCACCGTCATTTTATTGTATGATCCTAAAAAACAGTCCCAGTGAGCAGTCTATGAAACTTGAGTTTTGATCTTGTTCAAGATGTGGTTACTGCACAACAGGAATGGCACAATGCAAATAATGCACTCCTAGCCTTCAAAAAATTTGGAAGGGTAGATTTCTTTGTTGACAACCGGAAAGAGGTAGAACGAAATCATACTCTTTTGCGCGCGAGTCAGTCAGTGTTCTTGGCTTCTAGGAATCTAGTTATTTTACATCACTTGAAACAAACACTTTCACTTATCTATTAACTGAAGGTAAGAAACTGATACTCTGAGACAGGAACGTCCATCCTTTTGATAAGAGCCTTAACGAGATCAACACCTCACTCATACCAATGATAACCAACTCAAACATTCTTGTATATCAATTCGAACAGATCAACGGATGATAAGAGATACTCGGTTTATATCTAGTTCTAACTCATTGTCTTAAACGAAAAAACAAACCAGAGGCAATTTTCCAACCAAATCCTAACACGCCAATTACTTGTGCTCACTCAGGCATTTTGTCAAATAGGTTCAGAGCGGAATGAGTCTGAAGAACAATGTACACAAATAGAATCATTGGTTGGGTCGGTAAATTGATCATGTATTATTACCTTCAGTGACATCCCCGAAAGAAGAGAAAGCATCCTTCAATGACTTCTCATCCACCGACCATGACAAACCTTCAACACCCACATCAAATATCACATACAAAATCGCACTATATATCCATATAAGCAATTCAGACAAACGTGGTCAAGTAATTTGAGAGAAACATACCCGCAACAAATAATTTACTGTTGGTGGAAGGAGAGGAAGTTGAGGGGGTTGACCAATAACGCCGCCAATTTGAAGTTGGTGAGCTATGATTGATCCTTAATACTCTTCTAGCAAGGAACATTAAGCTGTTGTTCTTCATTGACGAAAACCCGGTGACCAGTTCACCGAAGGGTCCGAAAGCCACTCTTACAGCAACCTCTAGTCACTCTATTTTCTAGCTATTTTAGATACCTGAACACTAAAAAAACTCTACGGCCCACTCTCTATCTCTCTTCTCATTTCATCCAAACGGTTCTTCAAATTTGGAAAGTTATTCAGTTCAGTCTCTGTAAATACACCCTCGATCCAGAGATGTCAACGGACCGAAACGGGGGGCGAGGGTATAGTTTTCATCATTGTATTCGTTTAAAAAACTTTCGTTCATTTCTGGTTCACTCTCGTTAGTAGGTATAATTTTCATCCTCATTCCCGTCCACGGGTAAATTTATAATCTCCATCCCCGTCCCCGCTTCCCCGTACTCGCCCAAGCCCAAGCATAAGCATAAGCACAAGCACAAGCCTAAGCCCAAATTCAAGTCAACATAATCCAACATTTTAAATAATTCAACAACATTATATATAACAAACAAAAAATTCGAACAACAATAAACAATATTTTCATAGCTAAATAGAATTACCACAACTGTTAATGCTAACTTTAAATTATACTACGGTGAAACATAAACTATTAATGCTAACTTTAACTTTAATTATAAAACTGTTAATGCAAGATTTACAGATGTAGCTAATAATATCATACTGATATATGTATATGTATAAATATAACGGATAACGGGTAACGGGTAACGGGGACGGGGACGGCGGTAGGGGTAAGTTTATCTCTGCCTTCATCCCCACATGAGTTTATACGGGTATCCCCGTATACGTCCACCGTCCAATACATATAGTCCATCCCCGGTCCAAACAGGACGGATTTTGACGAATACCCGTTTTTTTCCAGTCCACTGTCATCCCTACCTCTATCCCTCTCTCTATATACTCTATTTCTCCCTATATATTACTTATAAAATTTTAACACACAAAGATAGAATGTTTGAATAATTTCAACACTTAACAATTAGATTAGTTTTGAACATTTTTTATTGGTGCAATTGATATCTTTTTTTTTTTTGTATTGATCACTTATTTTTTTTTAATTGCTGATTAACTTGGATTTTGATTTTTTTTTTTTTAATTTTCTGAGAACTATAGGTTTTTCATACAATAGTGATTTATTTTTAGTATGAATAATAACTTAATGATTTTATTTATGGATTATAAAGACAATTTAAACTTCATTGATTGATAAGAAATAAGAAGTAAACATTAATCATCGGTACTAAAATGCGTGGTAAAAAGATTTATTTACAGTGTACTCTAGGTATGAATCAGTTTGTAAAAAGAAGAATGAAAAATTATATAGTAAATATATAATGGTTTTTAATGAAATATTATACCAAAGGTTTTGAAAAAGTCGATATACTAAATAACTTACATGTCCAAAAATGGTGACATTGTCCATTTGGATACTGGTTTTTGTGTTGTAGTGACGGTGTATATGCGGTTGTTGAGATCAAATGTTAAACTGTCAAACTTTGAAAAAGAAGCACTAAATTTAGAGATATGATGTATTTTATGTGTGTTTAATAGAAATATTTTTAATTTTATGCGATGTTTTATCGTAAAATTAGAAATTAAACAAAACCAACCTAAATCAAGGTACAAACAATACACTTTTAACATATAATATTTAACAACAATCAGTTAATGACAATACATCCACAACTAAACCACACGAACATTAAAAAAAAATAATAATAAACTATTGTCAAAATATACACTATTAAACCAAATCAAAAAAATGATCAACGATAAACAATAATAGATATCAGTGAAAATACTTCCGAAGGTTAGATCACTGTCAATACAATTTGGATGGAAGAGAGTGGATGGTCGGAGTGGGTAAGTCCAGTGAATTTCCAGATTATGTCATGCGTCGCTGAAGAATGTCTGTTTATTGGAGTTTGTACAGAAAGATGAGAGACTGAGGAGGATGACAATGATTTCTGAAAAACTAAGAGAGGTGAGACGGTTAATGGGGAAAAGAGAAAAAGTTTGGTCTGTGTGTTAGACAAAATGGGTAGCATGTGGATGTAGTTAAATTTGGTGGGATTCAAGGGCGGAGCCACCCTAGGACCAAGGTGGGCACGTGCCCCCCTCAATTTTTTTTTTGACATTAGATATATTTTTTTTAAAATAAAATTTAAATATATTTAATTGTGCTCACCCTCAATTTTTTTTACAATAAATATATATTTTCTAAAATAAAATTTAGACATATTTAATTATATCCACTTTATTATTGTATTATTGTGAAATCGATTAAGATAGACAACTACTTAAATAATAATTAATTTTTAAATAATGTTATTGGAACTAATAAATTATGATATTAAATCTAATAGTGAGTCTCTATATTTAATAACGTCTACTACTCATCCAATGGTCACAAACTATTGGGTTTCTACCAATTAAATTTTGAATTTTTTTTTGGTTAAGATATAAAATTAAATTTTGAATTAGATGCAATTACTATTATTCTTAAATTTTTAGACGCAGACATGTCCGAATAATTTTTAGACATATCGCGTTCATTTTTTGAAATTATAGGATTATTTTATTATTGTATAGAAATGAGTGTCATAATGTAATAAATTACAAGGTAATACATGAAAGACTGTTATTACCATTTTGTATATAGAAAAAAAATATTTATTGATATCATTGATTTGTAATTCTTTTAAATGATAAAAAATAATCAGATTTAATTGTAAAATGATAATAATTAGTCTCATACGAAGTTTTAATTAATTTACTTTTATTTTTTGTTTGTTCATTCCATGCAAATCGTTTTTTAACCTTTTTATTTAATGAATTTTTTCGCATAATTATAGTAATATATGAATTTATGAACTTCTATGGTCAATTAAAAAAAATAAAAAATGTTATTTAGATCTAATTTGATGACATAATTCAATACACCATTTTGATTGGAAGTAGAATTCATCTAACATTGAAATTTACAACTAAAATAATAGTTACATTGAATCAAGTCATTGGTAACATTGATAAAAAAATAATTAAAATTTATTAATGTATCCACCCTAAAGTATTTTTTGGCTCTAACCTTGTGGGATTTTATTTTTGTGTGGGATGTGTTGTGAGCTATTGGATTAAGTTTGATGAATTTAAATGAAATTTAGATCATTTAATTTAAAATGAATTCAATCTGAGTTGTTATTGTACTTTTCAAATTTAAGATAGAGACGTATGAGAGATAGGAGTGTAGAGTCTTACGATAAGAGGCTTCTTCATGGGCAAGAAAAGAAACTTAGGACTAACTGTAGACTGTTAAATCAAAATTTTTGAGATGATCTGAACCGTCTTTTATGTTGGGATTACATTGTCCGTTAGATGTGTTTATGTTTTGTCTCAAAACAATCTGAACCTCTTCTTTGTCTTTTGGATTCAAAGAGCATCTCAAACTCTGAATCAAATTTAGACTCAAATTTAAATTTCACAATCTTTTAAATATCTAATTGTCATCTTTATTCTTTTTTAAATTTGAGTTTGCTTACATTTAAATTTGAGTTTCTTCTTCTTTGTCCATTAGAGCTCATTGCATCAAATCAAATTTTTTACTCAAATGTTAATTTAAATTTGAGTAAAAATAACATTTAAATTTAAGTCATAATTAGAGATCCTCTGAACACTTCACAATTGGGGTCAATTTATTTCCCGTCTCATACTCGGCACTTACGTAGTTCATTTACACAATTCAATAAACACATTATAGTGAAAAGCAACATTTTTTTTGTGCTAAAAATGGATATGCAGGTCACTCCATATGCCATGGAGTATTGCCCCTTAGCACCACACACTTTTCTACAAGGGACCCCACTGCACGTCTGCACTTACATCGAGGCTAAAGTTAAGGTTTCGTCGCGTACTCTGGACGTTAAAGAGTAAGTTTAGCTCCAATGAACTACCATACCTATAGAGACTCGAACCCAAATATTAAGAGAAAAAAATTGAATCTTTACCCATCGGACAACGACTCATTCGTAATCAAAACAACATTTCAACCAAACAAATTAACATAATATGTCGATACTGATGATGCACAAAACAGTCTTGTGTAAAATCAACTGTCGAGTGTGTGACAGGGTGTGATTAATGGATAATTAATAAAATAATCAATAACAGTAACATAAATATTGAGTCAACATACAGATATATAGTGATTCGGTTCGGGTGACCTACTTCACTCTGAAAAACGGCAACGTGGCCGAGGGATCTTTATTGATGAAGTAAGGTAAGCGGGAGAGAGAGAGAGAGAGAGCAATGATTAGCTCTAGAAGGGATACAATAGCTAGGAGAGAAAAAGTGTGTAGAGAGATGTAGAGTGGTGTAGTGAGATGCCCCTCTTAATGGAGAGAGTTTACAATTTATAGACATGGTGAGGCGGTGACATGAGGGTAAAGACACTACCTTTTCGGGGAGGATAACTACAAAAGGTAAGTACAATTAAGATAGTCATGATCTTCGAGAGTGAGTATCCCGATGATTTCTCTCCCACATGCTCTTATATTCATGGGCTCCTTTGGTCTTGAACTGGGTTAGATCAATAAGTTGGGTTAAACCTACGGGCTAGACTTGAGAGATCCTTTCAGTTGCTCTAAGTCCATTCAATTTATTGGGTTTGGCCCAGTTAAATTTGAACTCATTAGATACCATTCATGTGTTTTTTTCATTTCAAATCTCATTGTTGGAAGATGTTATATTCTTGCATTTTCAATCCTTACCCTTTTTAAATCTAAATTTAAATTTAGGCAAAAAAAATTTCAAAACTTTCTCCAATGTTATACTCATACCCATATCAAATCAAAGAATACTCATTTTTTTACTCAAAATCAAGGAAGATTCAAATTCATATCAAAATTTTTAATTGTAAGATTTCACCCTTATTTAAAGATCTAATAGTTATATTTTACCCTCATTTTAATTTGTGTTTCTCTCATTTTAAATTTTAGTTTTTCTAATAGAAATATTTATACCAAATCAAACTTTTTATCTTTTTTCTTTTTATTCAAAGTTGGATAAAGGTTTGAAATTCTATTGGAGATGATCGAGTCTCTATTGAGTTGAGTAAAAAATTAAGTCTCCCTTAATTTGATATGAATGTGAGTCTAACATTGGAAAATGTTTTTAAGAGTTTTTTACTCAAATTTAAATTTTAATTTAAA